TTACAAGTACAAAATGAGATTACAAGTTCTACAAGATATTGAAATTAGGGAATTCATAACTTTTCATGATTTTTAAATATAAATTTTAATTTTAGAAACTCGTTGCTGCCAGAAAAAATATATTTTTGGTAACACCCACTTGTCCTAGTGTTTTTGGAATATTAAATACTATATTATTAGGCTAATAAAACGAGTTTCATCTCAGTTTCGGTCTGCTTGTTTGTCTGTCTGTCTGGCATTGTGTCTGTAACGCCAAAATTTACGCGGCCCACTCCAAGAAATATAGAGCACCGTTCATGATCCAAATAGTTTTCGTTGGATGGGTGAGAGTGTCTTTATAGCCATTAAAATATGGCCTCACTCATTGATAAATAAAATAACAAAAAAACTAATTTTTGCGATTTTTGTGAAGTTTTCTCCAATGTTTACTGAATACGTCATTTATGAAAACTGTATTTACTCTCACCGCTTACACATGGTTGTTGACAAACTTATGGGAGAAAGTATGTGTCAGAATGCTGATACCGTTTATTTTCTAGTTGTCACCATTGACTATACTGATAATATGTTTACATTAAGGTCGTCGACACACGGGAAGACTGTTTTCCAACTGAAATCGGCAAACTAGTTGGACAAACTAGTCGCCAGCGTCCCGACCAATGTAGTTAGGTGGGACAGTGCACACGGGGCGACTGCGATACGACCAGTTGAGGACCAGTCGGCGATCAGTCGTTAAGCAACCGGACCTGCCGGTTGCTAGGTGATTTCAGTCGCCTGGTTTGAACAACTTTTCGCATATTTGTATTGCGCTTTTTAAGGATCGGGCATACCAACTGCGATAACTCTTCGTAAGTACTTTTTGACATCCTGTTCATAGACTGAAATTTTGCGTCTGTTTCTCTTTATGCAGCGGCAGCTACAAAGAGCCTACATTTAATACTTGTTTTAACATAAGGATGTACCCAATACATTCTACGTTCTTGATTGTCTATAAAACACCAGGGCTTCTTAATCACTACCACTCATTTCAAACATAATACACAGTACACAGTATCGTTATAACAAAATTAGAACTCATTTACTGTCTCAACTCGACTACAGTCGCGCCCGTGTGCAGATTTAACCAACGCAACTGCAATCATAATCGCGTCACAAAAAAGTTGGTTCAACTTTAGTTGGGTTGTTCTGTCTTCCCGTGTGTCGACCGCCTAAATGTTGTTTACAAATATCCACCATTTCCAATCACATTTTGTAAACAAAACCAAAACCTCGTGAGATTAATAACCTTGTGACTTATATAACATATTTAATTGACTGCAAGTACAATATTGTGTAACGAAAAATGCTTTTTAATAACTAGGCATCGTCCAGGTCGGGAACAGGAGAGTCTGGGTTGTATCAAATGGTAGGCTACTTGAGTTTTGACAACCAGTAAAACGACCGTGTACCAGTGTTTTATAGGACTACATTTTTTTGAAAACCATCGTAGCTAGCTTACTATTGAGGTTTCCACTCTTTAGCGGCGTTTCAATGGCTTTTGTGTCAAGTAAAAAATTACAACTGCTGTGGGTTATTGTGGATGTTGCTGCTATCTCGGAAGATCTTTACGATTTCGTTGTGATCATAACAGAGGTTTAGGGATGCTGCTAAACCCGCTTTTCCCAACAGAAAAAACGGAGTCATACTTATTGCGTATTTTAATGTAAATTTCTTGTATATTCCCATGAAACTGATAATTTACCAAGCACATTAAGGCCTTTAATCCAAGTATCTAAGTTCGTAAACCATACATACAATGTGACGATAAAATATCAACGACATAGCATATAGTTTTATGTAATCCTCACGACATTTTCATTTGGTCCATTGACTTGTCCAAGACGCCACAGAGAGCGGCAACTTGTATTTTTCAAGTGAAGAGACTGGACTCACTAAGTTGTAAATATAGTTGTTTAATTTTTTGTTTTACGTTTGCCACGATTACTGGAAAATGTGGCAACGTAGTTCCAAGTGAATTTATTATTTTGTATTTATTTGTTTTGAAGGAATAAACTCATTATTTCATTATTTCATTATTTCACTTTAAATCCAATAATTGTCAAAATTATTGGAGCTTAGAAAAAACTGCATGTAAAAAAATCGTTACAACAATAAAAGACAACGTGATGAGCGCGGGCAATGAGCTACAGCGGCTAGGGCATAGCCACATGAATACAGAACGGAATGGAGGAACTAGAACAGAGAACTGGCAACAGCGCACGCGATAAGTAGGGGGGGGGGGGGGCGAACACACCGCTCAAGCGCTACAACGCATTAGTGGCATCCTGTCCACACACTGTTGATATATACCGATTTGTGGCAAGGTGCCACAATTAAAAACTGGAATGTTAGATGTTAAAATGGAGTGTTCATTAAAAATATCGATGCACACATGGTTCTACCACCTTCCTTTATCCACTGGTGACCGCAGTTTGAAAGATGCCACAATTAGGTGTTTGCGAGTATTCGGTAAAACCCCGTAGGTGTGTGTCTGTGTGTGTGGATGTGTACAGAGCTACAGACCACACCTGTAGTCCGATTTTAATGAAATTTGCTATGTAGGTACTACTCCATGGTATTTCCAGGCCCTTTTTCATTTTTTTGAAATTTTGATTTTCAATGGGGATTTTCCCATAAAAACCCATAAAATAACGAAAAAATCAGATTTTTTCAAAAATGGCCCGAACGATTTTGATAACAATTTAGTATGTTATAGCATTGACTATTGGATACAGAAGAAGACATCCCATCTATATGGATCAGCTGTTGCCAATTTTTACTAAAAAAGAATAGATTCTGAACAAAATGGTACCAATCCCATTTCTATAAAAATTACGGTTCAAAAGTTATTGTAACTTATGTTATTTTCCCATAAAAAAATCCCATAAAATTTTAAAAATCGGATTTTGGGAAAAACCGGTTTTGATGAAAATTAATGTGTGTTATGGTCCTCATAATTCTGAACAAAATAATGCAACCTCCATTACTAACAATTACGGCTCAGAAGTTATTGCAACTTTTGTGATTTTTCCTATAAAATTATCATAGTTACTCCCACTGCTTACCCATGATTAAGGTTGTTGACAAGCATATGGGAGAAAGTATGTGTCAGATTGCTGATAACATTTATTTTATAATCTTTTTATATTAAGTTCCATTGAAAACTAGTTGTAATTTAGCTATTTAGTTATTTCAACAGTAATGTGCATGGGAAAGAATGTCTCGATAAAAAGATAACTTATTTTCTTTTTTTGGCAGTTGAGGCAATTCCCAAGCTGTAAATAAGATACAAAATCAAATAATATACATAAATACTATTTTTTTTCACACTTTATTTTCATGTAATGTTATAGACACAGATAGAAGTTAAAACACAAACGTTTGGCCAGACCCGATTTTGATCCAAGACCCAAGAGCCAAAATTATTGGCCCGACCCGAACCAAAAAAGCAACAGTAACAGCAAGTAACAGTTGTAAGTTATTAATGAATAAAAATTTAGAGCTAAGTTGAAAATCTAGAAAAAAGCCATCAAGGCTTGCTAACTTTCAACAATTAGATTTTTAAGAACTATAAAAACCAAGTCCACCATTCAGTGTGTTTGTGTGTGATTTTATTAATGAAGATATTAATTGAAGTACTTTGATCAACCCAATTCCAAGACAGAATTTAAATAGTCTTATTATATTTGAAAATAATATTTCATACTAAATTTAGCTTTAAAAGCTGTTTGATACACGTACGCCAGAACATCTTTATGTATGAAAGAAGACAGGATATACATCAGTATAACACCAGGAACGCTAGAAACCTCGACACCCCTCAATGCAGACTGTCCAAATCCCTGAATAGCTTCCCAGTGACCGCAATTAAACTTTTCAATAGTCTGCATGAAGAAGTCAAAAGTATGGATGTGGCTGGGTTTAAAACCTCAGTGAAGGAAAAACTTCAAAATAGGCCTATCTACTCATTCAAAGAATTAGATGACGTGCCACTTTTTTAACTCGCCGCCATCTCAGTTCAGTTTTTTAATTGAATTTGACGCAGTCTATCCGGAATCCCGGTCAGAGACGAAGCCTTCAAGTATTCAAGTAAGTAAGTATTCAAGAAAACAATTTATTTTATGGATGTTTTGCATCCAATAGAAGAATAAAGACTTACATAATAAACATAGTTTGTCCATCTCTTATTTAAAGTTTTGACTGGAGTCAGCCAACTTCGCTTTGATAGTGTAGGTGCCCAAGTGAAGCTACAGCCAATCTTGGACCCTACTTAGGTTTCTCATCAACTTGATAATAGAGTTATTTTTAGCATGGGAATATTTGTTGGTTTTGATTAATTTAATTCACATGTTTCAGCTGATTGAATAACGTAAATAAACATTTCAAGTCTAAATTATTGAAAAATTAGGGGTCTTATAAATAAATATACTTGCAGACTAATAGAATATATCGTTTTGACAAAAAACAGTTGGAAAATTAGTGATTTGTATATTTTCCCCATGTGGTGGTTAACAAGAGCTTTAAATGGCACCTCATTTAAATTATGGAAATTAGTGAAGAATTAAAGAAGTTATGGCGTACCGACAAAAAAAAAGTACATTAGAAATTATAATATATATATATATACATATATATATATATAGATAATCAATCAATATATTTATAACACTAAATGTAAACAAGTATATTTACCTTTGTAACATAGGTACTTATGATTTTAGCAATAAAACAATATTTAGAATTTACGTTAGAGTTAATATTGCACAATAGTTGAAATTGGAATTTTGAAAAGAATTGTAATGTACACAATATATACACAGGCAAACACGTACCAACAAATAAACTGAAAACTATAACTTAAACTTTAACAATACATTAACCGAGGAGATTCTGTGAACAATGATTAGACGGACACAGAAGTATTGACTACGGATATAGCAAGCATGCAGCCTCACCCATACCTGACTGCGACGAGAGCTGAGTTTGACCTTACGTCCCCCAGCTGTACCTAGCCGCATGTATACTGGTAACTTGCTGCGCTTGGCACTGTACCGCTCCTCCTCCGAAGATGACGAACGTGAGTAGGAAGATTCTGACTCCGAGTCTGCATCTACAGTCACATAACAATTTTTTTGTATTAAAATTCTTCCAGTCTAGGGTAAAGTGGCGTAGCGACCGTGGAGCGGTCGCTCCAGGGCGGAAGGCTCTGGGGGGCAGAACTTATTGGAGAAAATAAAACTTTTGTTGCTGATATATAAATATCAAAATTTAAGAAGTACATTATCTCATCAGGTAATTAAAATTTAAAACAAAAAATATAATAAAATAGAAATATCTGTCTTCAACTTTAATATTTTGTATAGTTTTTAATTTGTTTTTGAATTAGGAAAGAAATGATTTAGCTTGCAGACAAGACTCGACTCAAACCATTATTTATGAAAATAAAACAACTGCTCAAATAATAGTGCTGTACCTTTTCCTAGCTATAAAATTCGTCCCCTAGTTACGCTTAAATAAATAAACCTGATAAACAGATCCACTATCGTATTATTATCAACATTTGTTTGGTGTTTATAATTGTGTTATATTTTACTACAAACACAGCCTAACCCTTTGTCAACATTAAATCAGTTAAAATGTAAACTAATTCAAATAATAAAATATGAATGTATTATTGTGTTGGCGGAGTAATACGTATTGCATCTAAATGACAGTAACAGCTGTTTGTAAATGATCTGTGTAGAAAGGACTCTTTTTCTTAAGATGGCACCATTGGGTGCCGACATATTATACTCCTAAACATATAATTATGACATATATATATATTAATACATATTATGACATACATATTATTATGCTCCTAGTATTATGTAATTTGTAAATTATTGTCAATTAAAAATTTTTGTAGCCTACATTGTGTTTTGAATGCTTATCAACTAAACATCCGCAAAGACCATTAAGAGGGAAATAAATTAACCATATTTGTGTATGGTGATGTTTGGTATCGGGGGCGGTTTAGCAATTTCTACTCCAGGGCGCTCCAAACCTGGCTACACCTCTGCTAGGGTCTGTGCCCAATACTAACTGGACAGTGTTTTTGAGCAGTTTAAGTAGTGAACATATCTAAAGTCAAACAAAACAAAATCTCGCTTTAGCTAACAGAAATAAGAATAAGGTTGTAATTGAAATGACAGGCATACCTGATTGGGAAAGAGTTGTTAAAAAACATTTTCTTAGTTGGAAACTCTCTCTGTGAAAGTGAAATACTATATACTTTTCACTGTTGAGCACACAGTGTAAAGTTTTGATGTTTCTTGTACCGTGATGGTCTCTTTCCCATTCATGTAAGCCTACAATTCCAATGCAAATACTTAATTTTTGGGCCCTCGTGCAAAATAGAATATGGGATTCTTACCATAAATAACTTAGTAGATGTTCTTTAGAACAGTGTTAACAGTTTGGGTGAATTAAACATACCTCTGGAAGGAAACGTGACATTGATATGCGCTGACTGCATCTTAACAGGAGCTGGACGTTTCAGAACTAAGACCCTGCGTCCATCACTTTTCTCTGAAAACATATAATATACCTCTTTGGTTATTGTCAAACTATTTTTTTTTTTTTTACACTTGAATTTCATTCTCAATATAATCTTTAGTAAACTAGTAATTGCTTTTGGAGACAAGTCAAGTAATTCATTACACAGAATAAACTTAGCCTACATTGTTCACTGTTTCTTCAGCAAATAATGACTTCCTTACAGGCTGCATTTTTACATTCGATAATATTAAGACTGTGGCCATGACTTGTGTAGAAATGCATCAATCAGTTAAGATATTTATAAAAAAGTATTTTTTCAATAATAGCTATATAATAATCAAACATATTACTGCAAATTATAGTATTTATAGTAAATATAAGCTAATTTGGCATACAATCAATTTTCTTTTGATAATTGGGTTAACTAAAAAGCTAATTAAATTTAAAAACTCCCCTGCTGCAGTAAACCTGCAGACAAAGACAATTTCCATTCGCCGGATTTGTTTTTCAATTAAATCTATTTAAATAACATTAGTTTTAACAAGTACCTAGGTTTGCTGCTACAGGGAGGGTAATAAAGTGTGTTTTTTAGTATAAAACTATTAATAGCTTAGTATAAAATAAATTGCCAAGTTTGATCTAAATATATGCATAAATAAGCAAACTACATCAGTTTCTTATTCTCTATAAGAGTAACATAGGGATTTAAAATTTAAAATTTTTTGAATTTTCTCTATAATTAATAACTCTACAAAAACACTTCAATATCCTATATTATTTGTTTTTTAAGCTCTTGAAATTAGTTTAGAAAGAAATTGGGAAATTTAGTGTTTTGATTGTGAAGGTCAAAAATAAGAAAAACCAATTTTTAAGGCTATAAATTCCCATTCTCATGGTCTAATCATGCTGGTTCATGAACTCCTTAGAATAAACTTAGGTTTACACGTTTGTACCAAATTTCATCAAACTCTGATCATTTTTACTTGAGTTCTGTGCTAACAGACACATATCTATATATAAATATAATTATATATCATTATATAAATAAACTAGCTCATACTCCTGGCTTCGCCTGCGATTGTGTAACCATCATACAGAATAAGAAATAAACAGAGTATTACAATCTAAATCAAAACATGTGACACAACTGGATAGGTACTTAAAAGGTTACTAAATTTGTTTACTTAATCTTTTTATTGAGGTCTATGTCTCTAGTTCTGTTACAGTTTTGCAAATAATAATTCACAGTGGCTTCGCCAATGATCACAAAAATAAGTTATTATCATTATTTATTGCACAGATTAAAAAAATCATGCAACGATTAAAAATTCTACAACGATTAAATAACAATTAAAAACTAAATGGAAACCATCTAATACAAAACAATATGTTAAATCTCCAACTAAAAAATCTTACAACATAAAATCTTGAAACTAAAAATGCCACGACTCTTCAGTTTCTCCAAGGTATAGTTTTTTTATATCCGCTCTTCTAATAAAGGTAAAGAAACTTTTCCACCTGAACAAAACATTCCAGCAGGCTCATCTTTCCGTTTTAATGCTCTGCAGTGTATAAACTCTCTGTCCATTTGATATATTTTTAATGATTTGTATTGTTTATAGTCTATTGTTGCGTGGTATTCCATTGCATCATTTTCAAACATACACAAAGTACTGAAGTATCTCTGTTAAATGCTTGTCACCAAATATTAAATAATAAATATTAAATAGGATTTATAAGATAAATTAAAACATAAACATAACTGTAAAAAATCCTATTTTGACAGTTCTCATTGTATATCACAGCTTTTTGTTGCTTCTAGTTCAAATTAGCTGTTGTAATAAATGCAAAATAATAATAGTGCTGCACCCTGTTGGTAAACTTTTTAATGCTATTCAATATCATAGAAACAAATTGTATAGTTGAAACAGATGTCAAAATTCCTTTTAAATATGAATACTCGTAAGGTTAACATGGAAAATTCCAGAGCCACTGGGGTGGAGCCCGAAAGGATTTTTTAGATAAGAATAGGCCTAGGCATATAAGTTAATCTGGAATGTGAGCTAACATCATGCCAAATTTCAGCTAAATCTGTCCAGTAGTTAATGTGTGATTGAACTTCAAACAAACAAACACACAAACTTTCACATTTATAATATTAGTAAGATATATAGTACCGGTAGACCGAGGTTTGCTTGAATTAAACATTTATGAGATAAGTTAAATAGCTTCATTAAAAAAAAACCTCTATAATGTAATCAATGTAATCACATTTTAGATTATTCAAATAAAAAATTGTAATACACCTTTATAAGTAGGCCTACACTAGCAGTTACACGGCACGCGTTGCTGCGCTTAACAACTATTATTTTAAACTAGGTGAAACCCGTCGAAATCTACGGTTAATTCCAAGTATTACGCTAATTCATCTAAGTGCAATAAATTGAGTGAATAGAATTGTTTAAAGAGTAATAAATGTAAAAACAATAATGATATTTGTTCTGTAATATTCAGTATAATTAACTTTGTTATAATAATGCTTTCTTTTATCTAAAAATAAATACAGATGGCATTGATTTTTAACTTGTTTTAATGTTTAAAACAACATGTGATTCAAACAATTAACTATTAGTAATTTTAGCGAATTTCCCTATAGGGAAGTAGCTATTACCGTAGGTGGCACGGTAAGACCTAGACCCGGGACCGATTTACTTTTTCATTTTGATGTCCCCAAAGGCCAAAAACACCATTCGTTCAAATTTTTATATATGTATATATATATAGACTTATATATATGTATATATATATAGACTTATATATATATATATATATATATATATATATCCGTGAACGCAAAAACTTGAGTAATTTTTGTCCGATTTTGATGAAATTTGGTTTAAAGGTGTAAAGCGGGATAAACTTGAATGAGTTCGCGAACCAGCATAATCGGACCATGGGAACGGGGCTTTACGGGGGGTTTTATGGGGTAAAAATTGGTTTTTCTCACTTTTGACCCTCAAAACACAAAATTTCCCAATTTCTCTTTAGACCTTTTTAAAGGGCTTAAAAACACAATTAATTTAGTATATAAAAGTATTTTTGTTCGGTTAATAGTAACGGAGAAAATTAAAAAAATTGTAAATTTAAAATTCCCATGTTATTCTAATGAAGAATATTGTCAAATGTTGTAGTTTGCTTGCTTATGGATATATTTTGTATTTTGATCAAATTTATTTATTTTGTACTAAGCTATCAATATTTTACAAAAAAACACACTTTATTAGTTTCCTTGTAGCAGCAAACCTAGGTACTCGTTAAACCTAATGTTATTAAAATATATTTATTTGAAAATCAATTAAGACAAATGGAAATTCGCTTAGTCGGCAGGTTTGCTGCGGCGGGGGTATTGTTAGTTAAAAACATGAACATCAAGAATGAAGATCCCTCTCTCTCTTTTGTACTAGAAAAAATGTAAAGTTCTGTGAAATCACTCAAAGTTTAATTGTTATTAAAACTACTTGTCAATTGTATCTTAGTGTTCTAATTTGAAGAATCAAACTCTGCTTATCTTATAAATACAGTCCACTACACACGCTATCGAAATTCTACATGGTCCTTCGGCCGCAGATCATCTGAAATTCAGCTCTTTTGGTAACTATAAGTCACAATTAGTTCTACTCCAACTCCAACTTGAAACCTTAAAATGAACTCCTCACTCCTTTCTCATCACTAAGAAGTAAGAAGACTACCAAGACTACTGTAGATCTAAAAGGTCAATATCTAAAGGACTTTGATTCATTACCTATTCCTATATTCCTATTGTTTTTCTTGTAATTTATTATTTGACATTTTAATTTGTATCAAACCATACAATATTTTTTGTTTGTAATGCTCAGAGCCACCACTAATAGCGCTAATGTAACAATGCCATCTGTTTGTTTTGTCATCTGTATCTCGTATTGCAGACGATAATGCCAATCTCTAATCTCTCTCTCATTCTAGTTCCCAAACACTTAAACAAAAATGAAATTCGTCACCCTGTCTAGGCAATTAAACTCAATTGCGAATCGTTTAGCCAAAATCCAAACTAACATCCAAGCTTTAGATTTATTACCTGATTTGTCCCAAGAACAAATAAATAAATTGAAACTTTTAGATTCAGAAACACTTAGAAAATACTCAGAATTTGAAACCTCCCTTGAGAAACTATTCAATAGTGACACGCTTCCCGATGATTATGAAGAAGATACACTCTTTCAATTACAAGATACTATATCTGACTTATGTATATGTAGGAATTCAAACTCTCACGAAGAAACACCTTTCTCAAGATCATACAAGTCATAGGCCTGTTCTAAACACTGACTCAATAACAAATACTCCATCAAGTAGCCTACCCCATAGGCCTAGTAGCTCTTCCTCAAACCAAGATAGCCACTCTCTAAAACTCCCTCCTCTATCTCTCAAAACTTTCAATGGTTCACCGGAACAATGGTTATCTTATGTTAGCCTGTTTCAAGTATCTGTTCATGATAATGAAAACATATCCAAAGTTGAGCGATTTCAATATCTGCTTTCTACTCTACAGGGAGAACTTTTCAATCTTATAAAGAATTTACCAATCACGGCTGAAAACTATGATGTAACATGGGATCTTCTCCAAAAACGGTATCAAAACAGTAGGAAAATCATAAGCATACACCTCAACAACATAATAGACTTACCTAACCTAAGTGACTTCTCCCTCAAGAACATTCGCTCGTTCATTTCTCAGTATATTGAAAATGCCGTATTAATTGGTTTTTAATGATATAATCTAAAGTTGATTTGTCAAGATCAACATGTGAACTGAGACATAACGATTTTCAGCTCCGAAAAAGGAGAAGTAGGCTGTGTTAGGCTACTCTTTTAGTTTTAAATAAATTAACCTATAACTCTCATAATATCAGAAAATACTGTGGATATAACTATAATCAAATTTAATTAAAAACACTACCTTTTGAACGAGTCATGATGTAAAAACTTTTTAA